TGCTGTCAATCCTCTGCCGCCGTTTTTGCTCATGAATGGCTAATGCTGAATCCTCAGACACTGTTCCTGCCATTTGAAATGTTCTCCAAGCTCACAAAATGATATTGTGAGTGATCTTGAACTTCTTGGTCAAACTTGTAACATTTAATTGTCTTCTGACTTCTCAATGACGTGACATTAGGTAAAGTCATCCACAGGATATTTCCTGGATTGCTTGTTGGCCATATCATGTGGTAGTAGCAATTCAATATCATTGAAATCACTGTACACTGCAGGGGGAAGGAACAGCTCTATATCTTCCGTTCTTCTGGGCCGATTGACGAAATTCAAATTGCACTTTTCATATCTCGAAAGCGCGACTTAGGATACATATTATATTTATATATAGCTTTGTTCTAATATAGGTATTTTGATCTGCAACTCAAATTATGCCTAGATATTAAATTTTGTAATTTTTGGTGAGAAATTCATGGAGAAATTTAAAGATTTATGTTGGTACATTTTTTTTTCAGTTTGCGCCAAGAATAATTTACTTGGCGAACATCTTAATTTATAGCAACCTATTTTCCTTTCCTTTCTTTCATTGATTACAAGCAGAAAAAAGGTCATATTTCATACTTTCAAATAAATTTTCAGAAAGTGTGTAAACCACATTTGGCATTATTATCGTTTATAACAAATATGCCAAATTTCAAAATGCGCCAATATGTAAATTCACATATATCTTAAGAAAAATGGAATAAAAACTCTGATTTTTGGCAGGTATGCTTAGAATTTAAGATTCATCAAATTTAAGATGATGGTAAAAATTTTGTAGGTTATAAATCAAAATTTTTTCAAAATATTTATAAAAATGATTTAAAAATACAAATTTTAAAAATTAATCATAAAAATTGTGCGAATTTTATTTGGATTAAGCCTAAATTTTGAATTCTGTAAGTAGAAATCAAGTAAGTGTAAAGAGAAATTAATAGATAAATATCAAATTCAATTAACATTAAGGAGCTAAAATTTTAAGGGCTAATTTTTTATAAACTACTAGTACGATTTTTACAAAACTTGGCAGTTCGGCATAATTTGAGCCATAGAATTGAAATATGGGAAAAAATTGCCATGTTGTTTCAGAAAAAGTCCAATTTTGTGTCGAAATACCTGTATTAGAACAATTGTATATATAAATCTAATACATATTCTAAGTCCCGCTTTTGAGACATTAAAATGCAAGTTGAAGTTCATCAATCGGCCCAGTAGAACGAGAATAGAATGTATAGAACTGCCTCATTATTATTATTATTATTTGCACAGTGTACATTGTGCAATAGCTTTCACTGGATTGCTGAGTGTACTTCACCTGTGTGCTTTATATCCTTCTGACATTCCTCCGTGTACATCACATGTCATATATATGCATGTCCCGGTACCATGTCTATCTCCTAGTCTTTTTTTTTCTTTTTGTTGTTTTCCTCTCTTCCATTACATGATCTGTGGTTTCCATGATCAGGCAGGTTCTATAAGTCGACTTGGCTGTCTCTTCTTTTTGAATGATATTAGAAGAAAAGGCCTATAGGCATTTATTAATTTTTTTTTTGTTTTTTCTTTGCTTAATTCTTTTTGTTGTCTTGATTTCATCCATGTGTGTGCATTTTTAACTATTTGTATCATTGTAACACATTACTGAAATAAGTGGATGGAATTTCTCTGTAAAGAATAGACAAGAGAGTTAGGGGAATTTACCTCATTATATACCTTTCAAAAGAAATATGTGTTATCTAGTAGTCAGTTTCATGTTTATATTAAACTTCATAAATAAAATTTGTATTAATGACAGATTTTTCTCAATTGTTTTAACTTCTTTTAATTTTGTATTCACAGAAATAATATATCATCTTGCAAAATGTTTTTTGGCTCTTTTGTTACAAAATCAGAGCAAATTTCTTCCTTCAAATTGTTTTGACACTAGATTTGTCTGAGCTGCGGGTAAATTGCTACTGTATTAGCTGAGCTTCAGAAACATAATCTTCGTTTTAATATGATTTGTTATTATCTTGAGTGAAGTGAGCATCCTTGTAGATTTATCTTTAGGAAACAATAATGATTTTAAACTGTTTTGTTATTAAATTCATTTTTCCTATTTTTTGACAATGCTTACCAGGGAAGCTATATATAAGACTCCAAAAATAAATAAAAATCATGTCTAAATATTTACATTGGTTTAAAATTTGTGGAACATCTTTTGAAATATTTCATGTAAATTAACAGAAATTTTGTGTTTTTTAATTATACCTGCTGCAATTTAAAGAAATTTTGGACATCTGCAATGTATGATTTTATCAGTTGCTTTTATCTGGATTTACTTTTTATGCATTTTACAAGATTAAAAGTTACAAATGTATCTTTATATGCATGAAGAGTATATTTTGATTGACATATATTGACATGCTTGTTTCAAAATGCAAATTATGTAGAAGTCATATTTGTGTATAAAATGTTAATGTAATTATTTATTAATCTAAATTACAATTTAAAATTTCTTTCTTTTTATTTTTTATTTATTACTAAAAAGTATTTCAAATTTTTGAAGATGATTGTTATTAATAAAAAAGAATAGTTTTCTGTTTTGCTGGTGCAAATCTCACCAAGCAGAATTTATTGGCGACAACACACAGTATACACATAAAAAATGTTAACAAATGTTAGTTCTAAGAATTTTTTCTTTTGATGGCGTAAACATTTTAGTATCGATTAAAATTTTGTAAAAAGACAGTAAATAAAGACAATAATTTAAGAATTTACAATTCTTTCATGGTACAACATCTTGATTTGCTGGTTTATATCATGTGACCCCAATCTCACGTAAACTACGCTACAAAAATATAATTCTCTCAGTAATTATCTACATTAATTTCAAGTTAAATCTTAATGTGGAATACAAGTTTAAATGCAAGAATTATTTTAATTCATACGAATAGCTTACTCAGAAATTATGTTAAACCGCAGTGCTTTACTTCCTAATGCATTCTCATTATAATTGATGAATTTAACCCTAGACTTTGCCTTTTTCTATTTTCGCCTTCGGATGAGCTGGTGATTGCACCCTAATGACTTAATTACTGAGAATGTTTTATGGCATAAATTGAACTATCTAGTAAAAAATTCTCTTAATTGTATCCAGAATTGAAAGAGACAATCATTTGATAAGAAATGGCTGCAGCTTGTTTTGAAAATTGAGGCGTAAAAGGTTACCAGCGAGTTATTAGTTTGGCATTGGTTGTACCTTTTTGGGGACTTTATCGCTTGTGCGGCAAATTGGAAAATATCTAAAATCATTTAGCCTGACTTCCCACATCCTTAGTACTCACAGGTAGTTGAGCTTCTTCTTCTTCTTTTTTTTTTTTTGTATTATCTCTTGATAGGGCATTTTTAGTATGTTGAGGATTACCTCTATAATTTTTGTGGCAACTCATTTTGAAACTTGGGGGTTCCTAACATTTTTATTTCTTATTCTAACTTCTTCAAAACAGATCTAATTTGTCAGCAAGTGAGGTGGGTTGTTCCACTCACTCATTATCCAAACAGTGGTTTTATAATCTGAGGGTCTTTCTCTTAATCTGATCTTCCAGTATCATATTATTTAATTGTAAAGACGTTTGATTCTTCAAGCCACCCGTTTTAAAATAATAAGTCAAAATTCCTGTTAATTTACATGAAAGAAAAACCCAAAACCCAAGTATTTTAGGATTGTCTTATGTTGGTAAACAGTGTTCTCAGCACTCAATTGACGTACTTCGGGAATTCTTTAATTTTCTGATATAATCTGAGCATCATCAGAAGATTCCTTAGCAATTATTGTTGCAAAGTCTGTTGGCAGAAGATGAACATTATCCCATTTGAAACAGCTACCTTTAGAAGGGTTATTGTCTCTCAAACAAGTCCAAAAATAAACTCATATCGGCTGTTAAGGATAAACATTAAGAATTAACTTGTTCAGGTCTAACTTGAGCATTTATGCATCTGCAGAAGAAGATATATTTCAGACTCTGCTCTACTATCAGTAGATAGCAAGTTAAATTTTTCCAATCAAACAGCCATTCATTTCTTTCTCTTCAGCATGTGATTCTATTTCCATTTCCTTGTACCATTAAGATTTGGTTCAAACATTCTTTGTAAACTCTACATCATACATGGAACTAGTGATTATAGCATTATTTATGTCAGGAATTCTAACATGTTCCTCTATCACTATATCTATTGTTCATGCTAATTCAATTAAATCCTTTTCTTCCATTTGGCTTAGTATGCCATTCTTAAATGAAAGTTGATAAATTTTCTCAAAATGTACACCAACATAATAATCATTTTACCACTTTCTTGGACTTTGAACCATTCTCAGACTATAAACTTGTAGAATACTTTAAGTAATTTTGCATTGGTGCAAAATATAGCAACTGAGACTATATATAGATATTTCTATACCTTTCTGTTGTCTGTTCTCTTTTCCTCCACCCCCAAAAAACTAAGCTGTTTATTATGTATTTAGCATATTTGACATTTACTTTAATTGCTTCATATTGAAATTTATATAGAACAAAATATTTGAGTTTTATACAAAAATTCATTCAAATATTATTTTATAAAATTGCCAATGTAGCGGATGCTAGCACAAAATTTCTCATTTAAATTTCAACAATACTTCAAAATTTATCTGTGAATATTAAAAGAACTGATAGGCAACAGAATTCATACAATGTGATTAGGTTGATCACATTTCATATAAAAGAATTCAAATTCAACAGAATATTTAATTGCTTTTTTTTTTTTTCGTACGATTAATATTTGGTGCTTCTGTTATATTTTCTTCCAAGATATTTTGTGCAGCATTTTCTCCTGTAATTTTTTTTCATTTAATAATGTAGTAAAGCCATAAAATATTAATTAAAAAGTTTTCCATTCTTTATTGTATTCTTCATGCCAAACACTAATTATTGACCTTCCATTTGTAGGAATGGATATGTAAATTTGAAAAACCAAATACATCTCCAAATTCTCTATCACCAAGTACAACTGTTTTAAGTCCTTATGTAAAGTTTGGATGTCTTTCTGCTAGAACATTTTATTTCAAGATAAGAGAAGTATACATGAAGAGCAAGGTAAGTTTAATTTTCCTCATTTATTAGAGCAGCATCTAATTTTAATCGATAATTGAGGATATTGAGAATCTGGTTATTATAATTATAAGTTATTATAAGGATATTGATAATTGAGGATCTGGTTTTAATCGTTTCTGTATTTTTTAGTTTACTTGTTGATCATAAATAATTCATTCAATTAATTTTTTTTTTTTTTTTAATTCTCTTACTTCTTAGTTGAAAGACGCAGTAGAGTCATTCAATAAAATTCTTGAAACTGTGTATAGAAATAGATAATTATCAAATTAATTCCTATTACATTTTCTTAAAACACTTATCCTTATACCAAATGTAGCTTCTTGGCCTTTCAATCTAATTCTTAAATTCTGATTTCATTATTCCTTTGGAATACTGTCCCTGAATTCCTTATAGATCAGCATATCATGAGAGCCAAATCTTTGTCCAAGAATACTTTCCATGACATAAGAAATCATATGGAGTTAAATCTGGTTGTTCAGGGAAGATGACCAAGAACTCGAACCTCTGAATTCCTTAGAACTGAAGAATATGTACACTGTCGGGGGGGGGGAGGCGCAATTCTATATCTCCTGTTCTACTGGGCCAATTGAGGAAATTCAAATTGCTTTTTTCATGTCTCAAAAGTGTAACTTAGGATATATATTAGATTTCTATATAGCATCATTCTAACATAGGTATTTTAACACGAAATCAGACTTTTCTTGAAATGACAAGCCAATTTTTTTTCCAGATTTCAGTTCTATGACTCAAATTATGCCTAAATATTAAATTTTGTAAAATTTGGTATGAAATTTATAAAGAAATTCATTATTTTGGCATATTTTTTTCTGTTTTTGTAAAGAATAATTTACTTGGCGAACTTCTTAATTTATAGCAATCTATTTTCCTCTTCTTTTTTTCATCGTAAATGAGTGGGGAAAAAAAGATAATCCTTCATACTTTCAAATAATTTTAACAAAGTGCGTATTATCGTTTGGCGTTATTATCGCCCCCCAAAAGGATGCCATATTTTAAAATGCTCCAATATGTAAATTCATGTATATCTTAGAAAAGTTTGTCGAAAAATTTCTAATTTTTTGCAGGTGTGCCTAGAAATATATCTTCTTTAAGAAGATGTTAAAAATTTTATAGTTTATAATACAAAATTTTTTTCAAAAAATTTATAAAAAATATTTAAAAATACAAATTTTAATAATAAATAATAAAAAATGTGCAAATTACATCTGGATTAAGCCTAAATTTCGAATTCTAGAAGAATCAATCAAGTAAGTTTAATAAAAAAGGTGATATTAATAAATCTATATCAGATTAAATTAACTTTGAGGAGCTAAAATTTCGAGAGCTAATTTTTTAAAAATTACTTGTGCGATTTTTACAGAAACTTAATTTGAGTCATAGAATCAAAATATGGAAAAATTTTGGCATGTCATTTCAGAAAAGCTCCGATTTTTGTGTCAAAATACCTATATTAGAACAACGCTATATATAAATCTAATACATATCCTAAGTTGTGCTTTCGAGGCATGAAAAATACAATTTGAGTTTCTTCAATTGGCCCAGTAGAATGGAAGATATAGAATTGTCCCCCCCTTTTTTTTTGCACAGTGTACTTTTAAAAGAGCTGTTGCATTGACATAATGCTATGATCATCTAATTTTGGTTTTTCTAATTACATTAGACAAGTATTTTGAGATATAACATTTGACAACTGCTGCTTTTTGGATATCCTAGCATCACTGTTTTAATATGTCCAGTTTTAGGGAAGAAACAGCATACTGTTTTCTTCCTGACATTTCGTCTTTTCGTGATCTTGGTAAGAGAACCTTCACTAACAAAAATATGTATAGCAGGATTAAGCATTTGGTTTAGGGATAGTATTGATATAGCCTAGATAAATAGAAATTTAGTGATTACAAAACTTACATCAAGTTTTTCATGAAGTATATTTTTTCTAGCCAACCCAGTATTTAGAGAGCCTTAAATCTGAGCATAAGTTATATGATTCGCTTCTTTTAATATCTGTTCAAGTGTAATGTTTTGATCTCCTGAATTCATTGAACCCTCTATAAACTGTGGCTTGGAAAGGTTAAATTTCACAAAAATATCATGTAACTATTTAAGATACTTATCAGTCACCCAATCTAAGTCATAAAAGTCATGGCATGAAAATACTCAGAAGTTAGTTCCAGGGTGTTTTAAAAGTAAGTGACAAGTAAGCATAGATAAAATGGTCTTCTTGCCCAACTTATGAGGCGTGCTAAAAAAGAAACCAAACTTTTGCTATAACATCTTTATTGTACAACGGAAAAAGTGCACAATACCATACTCCTTACGCGTTTTTCAAAATAACACATACACATAAACCATGTACACGCCGACTTATTTTTACTTAAAAAAAAATCCCAGAATTGCACAAAAATGGCATTGCGCACACTCTTCACTATATCCATGTACACTGCTTTTTTCTCATAAATTAGAAAAATTTCACGAAAATACATGATAATTTTCTCAATCTTTAAACCCGGTAAAAGAACATTATGAAATTACCTGATCGCAAAAAATATTTACCCTTTCAAATATGAACTTTCCACATATAAAATAAATAAAATATCCAAAAACTTTTACCTCTAAATCATCTATTATATTATAAACATCACCAACGAATTCATACCGCAAGCATTACAAATACTTAGTGTCAGATATTTAAATTATTTCCATGCACGTTACTTCAACAAAACTATACCAAATTCCTACAAACATAAAATTCACAAAATAACTATCATTTCATTAAAATATAATTAATTCAAAAACACTACTTAAATATAAATGAACACATACATTAAATTAATAAAAATTTCCTTACAATCCTAATTACTTTAAACTAATCATTGCTAATAAACAATGTTTCCCAATAATACCAAATCCTTTCCACCTTACATTTAGAACAATGCATAAAAATAATATCCTCAAATAATTAAAAATACTAACTTACCTAATCTTCTTCAGAATCTGGATTACGTGGCGGATACACTTTTCTCCTTTGTTTCAGAATCTTTAAAATCATACTTATCTTTCAAAGCAAGATACCAGGTAAAATAAATAACATAATAAAACATCTTTATTTCTCTCTCGCGCAACCTTAAAAAACATTTATTACTATCCTTTTCAATACCACTAAATACCCATTTCGAATTCACTTTAGTTACGGCCATGGGATCCAAAAATTCACAAACACTATTTCACACAACACAGAATAAAGCCAAATACAAAATTGCCAGATTTTTTCCCGATTTCCCCCCTATTCGGATTAAAGAACCGTAATTCGTCCATTAATATCACATGACATATCCCATGATCTCTCATTTCCCCCACACAAAATAATGCGTAATCGGAACTGAGTACTGCTCACATTATTACCAAAGTCCCAGGTAGTAACCTTTATCGCCTCCAAAATGTCGCCAAACTATCAGTTACCATATTGTAAAGATCAACCAAATATTTTTATTTAATGTTTATTCATTTTATATTTAACTATCATCATTTCTGAAAATTTTCTTCAGCCTTTTAAGTAACTTATAATTTTTTAAATTTTTCTTCCAGAATTGATAAACTTTATTTCATAGAAAGTTCAATTTTGTAAGGAAGGATTTTCAGGTTCTGATTAAAAGTCTCTGATTCGAAAAGGTATTTGAATCAAACTAAATTTTAATCATAACTTGAAAATAATGAGATTTATATTTTTCTTGAAATTAATCTCTTAAATTTCACTTCATTAAAATACATTGTATGATAAGACCATTATTCTATATGTAAGGCATAATGTATTGTCTAATTGGAAAGTTGTGTATTGCATAAAACAAGCTTTTACATTTTAATTGACTACCTAATTTTCTGTATTTGCTTGATTTGTATTTGATTTTATTAACTGAATATATTAGACAACTTAGCATATCAAATAATATTGATTGCATCTGCAATTTTGCAAATAAATTTTAATCACTATGTGAGTTGCTGTATGATTTTAATACATTAATTTTGTTACTTTTGATATTACACTGTCTTGCTGAAAATGCCAAAGATAGAAAATATGTTTGTGTATGAACTAAATTACAATGATGGCATGCAGATGTATTTTAATTGCAAAGCTTAGAATTTTTTTAGTATTTAAATAGCACAATTTTTCTGTGAATACAAAGTATAAATACTATCTAGAGTGACTAGAGAAGTTATGCCTTATATTATCAAATAAGTTTATCACATTATTAATGAGATGAAGGACTGTATTGTTTTTAAAAGTGAAATTGTACTAATTTCTATGGCTGGTAAAAACGTTTTAGAATTTTGGCTTTTCTTATTTCTTTGGAATTCAGAATGTAGATAACATTTAAATCATTAACAGAACTAAATACAGATAATTTTGTTTATTTAGCATGGTTACAGCAAACCTCCTGTTTCTCTTCATGGTCAGCTTTTTTGGAGAGAATTTTTTTACACTGTTGGAAGTGCTACACCTTATTTTGATCAGATGATAGGAAATCCTATTTGTAAGCAGATTCCATGGAAAGAAAATAAAATGCTTCTTGAAGCTTGGGAAAATGTAAGTGGATTTAATTACCTTAATTCTGCTCAAAATACTTATGTATTCTTACAGGGTACTTTAAATAATAGAAGTCATGATATTTGTTAGGCAAATCTGGTATTTTAAATTTAACTGGTGTGTTCAAAATAAATAAAATTTTTCTTAGTAAATGACAGTTAAATATTTCATTTTTGCTTAGTACTCAAAAATTGAATTATCCTGGTCCCTGTAAGATTCAAAGATAAACTATTAAAAAAGAGAATTAACTCTGTTGTTCAATAAATTCTTAATTTTTGAGATTTGATGCATCATTATCTCTGCTCAATAACAGGGATTCTGAAGCATTATTTCTAGTATCTTGCTAAATTAAGTTATAGTCAGAATAATCCATGGCATTGAAAAATCTGATTTTCTTAATTCTTCTCAATTGTTATTGATGAAATCAAATTCCATGTCTCTTGTGATCCCTATTTTTGAACTCTGCCATTGTATTTTACCCCTAGCCATCAAACTATAATTATTTCTAACCATTCAGTTAAAATTAAACCTTTGAATTCCATCTTTCAAAAATACTGTTGCGTTTCTGTAAAGGTTTGTGGTTTTGGAGTGATTGATGATGACACTTGATGTCATCAATCAGAAGTATCAAATCAGAATTTATTTAGCCAGCATTACTCAAGACAGCTCCAGGAACATGTTTACAGTCGTCGAAAAACTATGACAAGCAGGCTGAAACAATCAGCAACACAGCTATCAGGCTATAACACTGGAGATAGCTTCACGGCAAAGCACAAGACTACAGCTGCCGACTTGGTTCAGTCATTCTTGGAATTCTATGCACTCTCAAGACTCTCCACACTACAACTCGTGTTACACTCGATGATAAGCACTAGAGTACAGCTCTCGACTCGGTTCAGTCATTCTTGGAACTCAAGATAAAGCTCTATGACATATAACTCGCAATCAACTTGATAGACTGATGATCAACTCACTGCTAGACTACGCGACACTCACTCGCTGACTATGACTAGACTCTAAGCATACCAGTAGGGTTTATATAACTTTTGGGCTGCCTTCGAGAACATTCTGGTTCAAACCGGTAGGAATTTGTTCTAGAAGGTCCTCAATCCATCTATGGCATATCGCCAGTTTTGTCACTAAGTGTTGCCAAATGTGTGATTTTGTGCCAAATGTGGCAACTCTGCCTTATCTTTGCCATTTTCTGGTAACCTTATACCTGCTTGCATAATAAGGTATCTTACCGCAGCTGGACATTTCGTAACACAGTCTCCTCCCAAGGACTGCATGTCCCGAGCAGTACAATCCTTGGTCAGACGCCAAATTTGATACAAACAAAACGTAATAAAACAAACAAATAACATAGAATTAAGGAAACAAATATTTACGCTATGTACAAGTTATATACACAAATTAACCACATAACATTTTTAAATTATACAAATTAAAGTTCAGAATGAATTGCGGTCTCAAGCTTTTTATTAAGTTATACCTGGGTTAAATACTTTTTCACTGCAGTTCTCAGACGTATTTCTGTTTTGCATATCATAGTCTGAAGAATCATTCAGATATTTCATCCACAGGAAGATATAAAACAGTTTGCTGACCACTCCATAGTTTATTCACATCATATGTACAGTTCACCTCAGTAATTTTAGCAGTTACTACGTGCATATTTACCTCTATTTCCTGAAAATCAGTTCTAATCCAGCATTAGAGTTATGAATGGAATCCGATTCTTTGCAAACACAAGTATCCTGGTTAGAATCAAGTTTGTGTCTGTACAAATTGTATTATAAGACACACACTTAGTTTAAGAAGTGGTTGTACTTTCTTGCAATATTGGAAGCTGTACATCAGCTTCTCCCAGCTCTTAATCACATGCACTTTCAGATGGTTCAGTACCTGCTAACTTCACTATCAGTTTCTACCAAATTAACAGTCACATTTTCACTTTCTTCCAACTTTACTTCAGACACTTGAGAGTCAGGAACTTTATTTCCATGAATTATTCCTTTATCTTTTTCAGATGCTATTCTAGACACTTCTTTTATTTCTTCATATTTACAAATAGGATTATCACTCTCTTCCATCTCAACTTCAGGTATCTGAGAATCAAGAGCTTCTTTTCCATCTTTCATTTCTTCATCTTCAGTCTTGTAAGAAGTTTCATCCTTCATTTCTTGATCTTTCTCAGATACTCCACCAGCTACTTCCTTCATTTCTTCATCCTTTGATTCTTCAGATGCCACTTCTGTCCATTTCCACATCTTCTTTTATGTCTTCAGTTTCTTCTGTAAGCTCCACTTTCATCTGTTGGAGTTACTACTGTAGCTTTTCTTGGCCGACTTTTATCTCTTCTTGTCCAGCTTTCATCTCTTCCGGTCTGGCTTTCATCTCTTCATATCCAGCTTTTATCTCAGCATATCCGGCTTTGATTTCAGCCTTCATCTCTTCATATCCAGCTTTCAACTCTTCTAGTTTCGTCATGGCTTTTTCCCTGTAGGTGGGTCACTGGCATTCACTCGCAAATCTCACTTCTGACACCAGTTGTTGTGTTTCTGTACAGGTTTGTGGATTTGGAGTGATTGATGATGACACTTGATGAAGTATCAAATCAGAATTTATTTAGCCAGCATTACTCAAGACAGCTCCAGGAACATGTTTACAGTCATCGAAAAACTACGATAAGCACGCTGAAATAATCAGCAACACAACCTTCAGGCTATCAGGCTATAATGGTAGAGACAGCTTCATGGCAAAGCACCAGAATACAGCTCTCGACTCAGTTCAGTCGTTCTCGGAACTCGACGTACTCTCGAGACTCTCCACGCTACAACTTGTGATGCACTCGACGATAAGCAACGGAGTATGGCTCCCAACTTGGTTCAGTTGTTCTCAGAATTCAAAACACTCAACAGTAAACTCAACAAGGCATTAACTTGTGATCAACTCACTTCTAGAGTACGAGACACTCACTCACTGACTATTAATTGACTAGACTCTCCGTGTACTAGCAGGGTTTATATAGCTTTTTGGGCTGCCTTCGAGAACATTCTGGTACAAACTGGTAATAATTCATTCTAGAAGGTTCTCCATCCATCTCTGGTATGTTGCCAAATGTCACCAAATGGGCAATTTCCCCCCAAATATGGCAACTCTGTCTTCCCTTTGCTATTTTCTGGGAACCCTAAACCTGCTTGTGGTTTAGGGTTCTGTCTTACCGCAGCTGGACATGTTCTGTGGTTCTATCTTACCGCAGCTGGACATTTCATAACACTATTTTTCAAGGAGTTGTAAGATTGAAGATAGATATAACTATATCTTTTCATTCTTCTCAGGTAATTTTTTCACTACATTTAGATGCCACTGTGTAGTGTATTTAATCTTGTGTTTCACATGTAAAAACTACACAGATTGTTGATTTTTTTGTTAAATCCTATGTGATCTATCCAACTTCGAATCTAAAATTTCTAGAGAACACAAAAACCTTGTCTAAAACTTAAAGGTTTATTTAACTGGAACTTCAACATTGATGAAAACTTAACATCATAAACAAAAACTTAACATCTTAGGTGGAAATATTCAGAATGCTTTAAAGTAACAGCTATGCCGGAACGGTGAAGAACACTTTCTTTTAAAAGACAAGATCCATCTAGCCCTTTCGGCATATATCTCTATTCACTGGATTCAGACTTCCGCTCCTACGTGTTTTGGACTTAAACGGCCGGACTGGAACTGGAACTTGACTGGATCAGGACCAGAACAGGACTGCAACCGGAACAAGATGGGAACCGGAATCTCTCATCCCCTGGCTTCTCCCCCGGGCAGGTCTATTCTGGCTCAAACTAAAATGAACTGCGGTGCCACTAAGGAAAGTACCTCCTTTTATTGACGGCGGTTGCCATTACTACAGGCGATTATGCAAATATTTAACATCCTTCCATCTAAGGGGGAAAAAAAAAAAAAAAAAAGTGAACTTTCACATCAAAGTAAAACAATGCCAAAGAGCCTTAATATGCCAGTCTGTCCGGCGGAGTTACAGTTCTACCAGATCGTGTTACAGATCTCACAGATTTATCATCTACGTTGAGTTTAAGTTCAGACAACGAATCTTGTTTTTCATTCTGCAGCTTCACGGGTACATCATTTTGTGCTACCTCTAAAGGATACAGAGTTCGAACCGCTCTATAAACGGTGCATGTAAAAACACAAATCCATGCCTTTTCTTTGTTTCACAGCAATAAAGAACCACAAAGGTCTATACCCGTTACTTGAAATACTGCTGAATCATTTACTTGCTCTATTGGTGGTGGGGCTGATATGTGGTCAACAGGTACAGCAGAATATCTCTTGCAAGTAATGCATTTACTCAAAACAGAACGCATAGTTCTTCTGCCAGATAACAACCAAAACCTTTCCCTTAAGGTATTCAGTATATATTGTACACCTGCATGTCCTTTCTTTTTATGTTCTTCCATAATTAAATTCCTAACTAATGGATGTTCTCCTGGTAATATTATAGGTGTTCTAAACTCTAACGTGTCATCTCTTCGAAACGCACCAGTTTTTAATTCTTAGAATTCCCGCATCATAAAATGGACTAAGAGTTCGTAAGCGTGCGTCTTCTATATCCTGAAACGATTCCGATTGAATCAAGCGAATAACAACCTTTTCTGCAAAATCAATTTCATCAACAGTGAGTTCACCTTTCCTTTTTTTCTTATTTCTGCAATTAAAGAAAAATCGTTGAATCCAACCAACAACTCTAACTGTTTTTTCGATAGCTAGAAAATCGCTCACTCAAACTAAACCTTTCAGTAGACACTAGAGATGAAACCACCACTGCCTTTTTTTTTCTCGCTGGCTATTTCCGCTTCATCAGTTATAAATTCGGCACTCGGCCAATTTTCTTGGGATTTTAAAAGCCAGCTCGGACCCTCCCACCATTTTGACCGGGAGAGTTGGCGAACTGAACACCCTCTACTTGGAAGATCTGC